CGACGACAGTGCAGATCGAGAGAGAAACAGGTCTGATTTTATGTTGTGTTTTGTTTCTGTGGCCAGCAGTCGTCCGTGAGGGGTTGCTGGCTTTACTTTCATTTTGTATTTGTTTGTTTTATTATTAAATGTTCGCCGGTTCCCGCCTCTTTCTTCCCTTAACAACTGAACCCTGTTACATTGTAAATCAAATTTTAACCCAAAGTAGATTTATCACTATTATAGGTCCATTTGAATGATATTGTCTCTCCGAGAATGCTCTGAACCAGACTATTGAGGAGAATATTGAATCACTTAGGAAGCTGGGGTCAGAGGAAGTGACCTTAAAGTGCTGACACACAATTACTCATAGAAAGGGTTATGTCACAGCCTGTCACAGTTGTAAAGTGTTGGGTAAAGTGTGCAGTTCATCTGACAAGACGCTAAAGCATCTGCTCTGGCTTCACGGAAGACAGTAGACATCCAACAATTACTACCTTATGACTTCATCAATACCAAGGAACAATACAATTAATTTAAGTTTAATCACATCAGACAAGAATCTTAAAGGGATAATCAACCAAAAATTGGTCATACAAAACTGTCAAATATTTTCCTTATATTTTTACAATTCTGTTCACATTGCTTAGCACAATGCATTGTGTCTGCTTAACTGAATACATGATGTTTACTAACCAACCACATGGCTTATAGCTGTGTATTATTGCCATATGGACATTACTTTGGCACACTCTGACAGAATACTCCCTGCGCATGCATTTTCTGTGAACCTGCTTTTAAACAATGTGTATTGTGAAAAGCTCTAGGGTAAATTCAGGGTGATTGGGCAACTTTTTGCCATTGAGATGACTTGGAAACGTGTCCCATTCAACCCGAATCCACCCCTATACAAATAAACTTGAACTGCATTGAATTGAATTCTGTCATCATTTACTCACCCTCATGTCGTTCTAAACCTGCATGTCTTTCTTCTGCAGAACAAAACATAAATAATAAAAATAAATAAATAAACACAGACACACATATATATATATATATATATATATATATATATATATATATATATATATATATATATACACTCACCTAAAGGATTATCAGGAACTCCATACTAATACTGTGTTTGACCCCCTTTCGCCTTCAGAACTGCCTTAATTCTACGTGGCATTCAACAAGGTGCTGAAAGCATTCTTTAGAAATGTTGGCCCATATTGATAGGATAGCATCTTGCAGTTGATGGAGATTTGTGTGATTCACATCCAGGGCACGAAGCTCCCGTTCCACCACATCCCAAAGATGCTCTATTGGGTTGAAATCAGGTGACTGTGGGGGCCATTTGTAGTACAGTGAACTCATTGTCATGTTCAAGAAACTAATTTGACATGATTTGAGCTTTGTGACATGGTGCATTATCCTGCTGGAAGTAGCCATCAGAGGATGGGTTAATGGTGGCCATAAAGGGATGGACATGGTCAGAAACAATGCTCAGGTAGGCCGTGGCATTTAAATGATGCCGAATTTGCACTAAGGGGCCTAAAATGTGCCAAGAAAACATCCCCCACATCATTACACCACCACCACCAGCCTGCACAGTGGTAACAAGGCATGATGGATCCATGTTCTCATTTTGTTTACGCCAAATTCTGACTCCACCATCTGAATGTCTCAACAGAAATCGAGACTTATCAGACCAGGCAACATTTTTTCAGTCTTCAGCAATCCAATTTTGGTGAGCTCTTGCAAATTTTAGTCTCTTTTTCCCATTTGTATTGGAGATGAGTGGTAACCGGTGGGGTCTTCTGCTGTAGCATATCCGTCTCAAGGTTGTGCGTGTTGTGGCTTCACAAATGCTTTGCTGCATACCTCGGTTGTAACGAGTGGTTATTTCAGTCAAAGTTGCTCTTCTATCAGCTTGAATCAGCCGGCCCATTCTCCTCTGACCTCTAGCATCAACAAGGCATTTCCGCCCACAGGACTGCCACATACTGGATGCTTTTCCCTTTTCACACCATTCTCTGTAAACCCTAGAAATGGTTGTGTGTGAAAATCCCAGTAACTGAGCAGATTGTGAAATACTCAGATTGGTTTGATTTCCATAACGCATGCACGAGAACTGCGATCTCCTTCAACTACTTCAGTTCAGTTCTCGTGTATGCGTCATGGAAATCTCTTGAACTCTCGTATGTTCTCTTTTCGCACTAAAAGTATTCTTGTCGCTTGATAAACTTATAGTTGAGCCACTGTTGTCACATGGAATATTTAAACATTTTCTTTATTGACTTTCTGGGCCATCAAGTTTCAATCCCTCAGGCATCCTATGTAGCAGTGATCCACCTCTCAAATTTAATCAAAAACATCTTCATTTGTGTTCCGAAGACGAACGAAGGTCTTACGGGGTTAGTACAGCATGGGGTGAGTAATTAATGACTTAATTTTCATTTTTGGGTGAACTAACCCTTTAAAGGTTTGGAATGACATGAAAGTGAATAAGTGATGACAGATTTTTAATTTCCAGGTGAATATTCCTGCTCGCAATGAAAATGGGATTAATGGGATGGTATTAACAGGAAAGCATTGCTTTCGGCTGTGATATTCCAGCCTGTGACCGTTATATAAGGGGCTGATGAGGCTCCTAATGAGCAGTTACATTGAGCTTCCTGACCAGCGAGGAAGGGGCAACATAAAATGATGATGGCCGGAGCAACAAAGGAATAATATTTCTGTTTATCTGCTTTGGGATGGGTCAGAGGTATTTTTGGAAGGCTGTTGTTTTTTCCTCTGCAAATTCCAGGTTCCGCTTTTTTTCCTTCTCCCCCCTTCACCCCTTGTTCCCAGACTGTGAATGCACGGACGCTTCCTCTCCCTTCTTCCTATTCTCAGCCTCTGATTGCTAGGAAGCGTATGTGTTTGTGTGCGCGCGCTCACATGTGTCAAACAGACACACACAGACAGACACACACACACACACACACACAGATATTAAATAGTGAGGGTGAGTGCGTAGGGTGTAGGGTGTGGGGGGATGCGGCCATTAAAGAAATGAGGGGAGAGTGTCGGTGCTTCCACGAGTGCCGCTTTCTCAGAAACAGCTGCTGATAGTTAGCGTGTTAAACATCGAGACCTGTTCAGACAGCCCAGAAAAGCACATGCAGATGGATTTAAACTCCTACAGTTTTAATCAGACTGTGTCATGCTAAAATTACTCTGTGTTGTCAGAGCAGACTAAATAAGCAGACTAAAAATGGGTTTTGTCTGTTGGAGGAGATGGTGCTTCCAGGTGATATGACTCGTTCCATATTAGTTTTCCTGATTGCATGCGTTTATCAATATTGAATATCCTGAGGATGTCTCTGCTAATGAGCATCTGAAATTCAGGGATCAAGCTGATTTATAAAAACAGTAGTAAATGGCAGCATGCCTCTCTCATAATGCTCGTATAAACAGAGCAGTAGGTCCCAAAAAGAAGTTTGCTCAGTGATTATGATTTTAAACATACACTGGGATTCAAAAGTCTGTCCGCACTAAAACAATCTGGGATTGAACATGTAATTTAAACCTGGAATAAACAAAGTTTGAAGTAATGATGTAAAATGATAAAGAAATATTAAGATTCGGCACAATTTCTTGGAATTAATCAAAAAAAGTCATGTCAGGTTTTCTTCCTTCCATTTGAAACTGAGGATGCTTTTTGGATCATTCTCAATTCCCACTCGAGAACATGATCATCAAATTTTTTTTTTTTTCATCAAGTTTTAAACAGACTGCTCTTATTAAAGCAAAGGGGACAATCCAAATATTGAGACATTCAATTACATTTTTCATTTAGCTTTTCACTCAAATTATTATGCTGATAATATTTGTACTGAAATTAAACCTGTACTTAAAGGGGTGATCGTATTCAAAATTCACTTTATAAATGTGTCTTTGCAGTGTGTGGACACCACCATACAATAAAAAAATAAAAAAAATTCCATTCACAACTTTTTTTTAATCCTCAAAAAGTCTAAACACTCAATAATCTTTTGGATTTTTTTTTAGCAATATGATGTCATATTGCTCATGCTCTGCCCACGACCACTGAGGACTGTCACATATTAGCATATTTCCACCCTCAGCCATTTGTATTCTGTCCACCAAGGCAGGTTGCCAAGGCAGCACTTTATGCGTGTCGACACCCCCCATGGAAGAGAGGGGTGGGGTGTGCAGTTGCACATTATCATTTAAAGAGACATGCACAGAAACAGTTCTCTGTGAACAGAGCTGCTTTTGATGAGGTAAAAAGGATGTTGTTTTACACAACTATTGAGGAATTTTAACCAAAGTATGCTACAAACTTTACATGAAGACCCTAAAGAATCATACCAACTTGTAGAAAATAAGCATCCGTTGACCCCTTTAAATAAATAAGAAAAAAAAAATAGATTTTTTTTATCTGTGTTCAAACTGACCTTTGGACCCTATACTTGTGCAATGTTAATTTTTTTCCCTCTTAAACCCCCATTAAAAAGTTCAACAAGATTTATTAATGATTTTCATATGCTCACCAAGACTGCAATTATTTTATCAAAACACAGTAAAAACAGTAATATTGTAAAGCATTATAACAGTTTTAAAATAACTTTCTATTTTTTATTTTTACTTTCTATTGTTTTCTTTTTGAATATGTTTAAAATGTAATGTAATAATTTTATGCAGTCATCACTCCAGTCTTCAGTGTCATATGATCCTACAGTAATCGTTCTATTATGCTGATTGGGTAATTACTGTATTTAATTATAGTAATTAAATACTATAATTAAACAACAGCATTTAAAACGGAAATCTTTTGTAACATTATAAAAGTCTTTACTGATACCTTTGATCAATTTAATGCATCCTTGTTGAATAAAAGTACTTTCTTTAAAAAAATCAAATTGACCTCAAACATTTGAACATGCAAAATCAGATATTCAGTGTTTAAAAGGCAAGAAAAGGGTGAGAAACAAAATTGTTACCTTTGCTTCCAGTGTGGAAATGTCACCAGTGGATGCAGACACAGCATGACATCCACTAGGGGTGATGACCTTGGAAAGGGGTGACCACAATAATGTAGATAAGCACAGACATTCAAGTCAAGTCAAGTCACCTATATTTATGTAGCCCTTTTTACAATACAGATTGTATCAAAGCTGCTTCACAGTGATAACATGAAAATAATACAACACAGATTAAACATACTGTATTGTTGTAGAATTTAAATGTCCCCAACTAAGCAAGCCAAAAGCCAAGGCAACAGTGGCAAGGAACCAAAACTCCATCAGGTGACAGAATGGAGAAAATTCAGTCCACCATGTGAACAATGAACATTGATTCTCTGCTGCATTTCACCGAATATCATTTCATTTAACTGACAATAAACATGTGCACATAATATTTTTATTTTATAATCATGGATAAGGATCTGAGCTGACAACTCATTCCAGGAAAATATGAAGAGTCTGCCATCATCTTCCCTAAGGCAGGGCACTTAATGCAAGGCTGGTCAAAGAAGACGACTGTTCTTGCACTTTGAGTAGTTTAAATTGCTTTTCTGAGTGACACATGTGTTTAACTCATTACAAGTATCATTTACTTTGGAAAAGTGCTCAACGTGCTATTAGCTATTTTTGCTTGAAAATTTCTCAGTAAAAGAGTGACTAAATCCAAAGCCTTTTAGGTCCAAATCGTCACTGGTTTGCAGTCCAGAACTTTTTGCGTTCCAATTATCTAGAAGTTCTTCAAAACAAGAAACTTTTTCTCAAACCCATGCAGTGTCCTGAATCAATATCACTTGAGGAGTAACACCAAAGTTAACACTAAGACTGAAGTATAGTTTTATTCTTTTAGGCACTATTTCCTGCTCCTGAAATCTTTTAACAAACCAAATTCCCTTGAAAGTGTTTGACAGAGATTTAAACGTGGAGTTCAAAACTATCAAGTCTTTAAGGGATGCACCAACTCAAGGTCAGTGTTATTTCAGTTCAGGGTCATTGGGTAACAATAACAGTTGTAGAAGAGGATATCTACTATATATAGCCTATATAATATATGTATATGACTTAACTAAGATCATTAGACCATATGCCAGCGGTGTCATTGTTTAGAGACAGCATCATCACCGAAAGCTTGGTGTTGATATAAAAACAAAGCAGTGCTGCTTCACCAACAGCCCAAGCTGCAAGCCAACCCTCAATGTTTACAGAGAAACAACAACCTCAGTCAGTTTTCTCCAGCCTTCCCTCAGGTTCAGCTGGAATACTACATGAAAAGATAATTCAGCCAAACCACACTTCAAAAATCATGCATGTTAAGTAAGGATATCAAATTTTTCTAGCCGTAAAAGACCATTAATCTTACTTTATTTACATTATTTTTGGATTCCTTGGCTGGATTACTAGTATGGTGTTCCTTGGATTTGGATTTTATGTCATGACCCACATTTGAATGAAAAAGAAAGCAGGCCCAGAGGACATTTTTGAACAATCCCCCCTCCCCCAGCAATTCCAGAGGGTCCAAAATGCCCTGGGGAAATGTTAACACGTAAAACAAGCAGATAAACACAAACCCAGACTATCATTTACTATAAATCTCCCAAGTGCCGTGCATCTGCACTTGACGGCAGAAACGGCACACTCCATTCTTATCTGAAAGGCTACCGGGAGATACAGTCTGTTACATTGTCAGAGCAGGGAAAATGTTCCACTTCCAGACATGGTTCTGTTTCTGCAGCGATCACCGATCTTCACTTTTGTCGGCTGTTTGTCTGGAAGCACAACCAGAGATAGGGGCACCTTGATTAATGTTTAGGTTGTAAATATTTATATGGGTTGCATTTCACGGAGAGGTACAAACAACCAGCACATGGGTCTTTTGAGTTTAATGCCTGGTTGGGTATTGAAGCGGAATAATTTTTTATTAACTGGAACATAAATTCACATCTTCTCCTGGACAATAAATCAGCAGTACAGCAGGTTTTTTGTGAGGTCTTCTATGCCTTTCAAAATTATTTAAAAATTCATGACAAATTAAAATTACCTTGCATATCTCTGGCCATTTAAACATTTTGCTCTTGTTATAAAAATTTCTCTAAAATTGTCCTGATTTTATCTTAATTCCTCGTTCACTTCTCGGTTTGGAGACAAAAGCAGTTAATTATAGTCATAGGACTATTGTAAAGAGATTTTTTAAGGTACCAGCTCAATGTGTAGTATTAATGTATTTTATATGCATCAGAGGGAGGGGGAAATATTAGAGGATGAGAGGAAACAGTGAGGGAAATTGTGACCCAGGATTGGGGGGGGGGAGGGGGGTAGGGGGGGGGGGGGGTTCATGGGGGTTTGAATGTACCCACAGGAAATAACAATTGTGTATGTTCCTCGAGTCACACACACCGCATTTTTCTACAGGTTATACATGTAACCCAGTATATTTTCAAGATTTGTTATCACAACATTTTTTCTTTTGTCAAATCAACTTAAATAATTTATTTAGTTCAGATAACTTTTTTTTTTTAGTTTCTGATGATTAAATCAATCTCCTTCATTATATTCACTCACTTTTTCCAGTTCAATCAACTTAAAATTTTAAGGCAACCAGGTTACTTAATTGTTTAAGTTAAACCAACAATATTTTTTTACAGTGTTTGCAAATATTAATCTCAGACGCACTTTCACACAACAACGTCTGCTCTTGTGTGCTTATTTTGTAAAGAAAGTGGTGATTTTTGTTTATTTATTTATTTATTTTTTTGCAAAAAAAGCTCCCAGAGTCCACTGGACCAAGGACTGGACCAACCACTGGAGTCACAAGCATTACTTTAATCATGCTACAACCTTTCTGGGGCTTGAAAGTGGTAGTTGCATATATGCTGTCAATAGAGGGACATAAAGCTGCAGATTTCATTAAAAAGATCTTTAATTTGTTTGCAGAATATCATCGAAAGTCTCCTAACGCAATGGCTTGGCTTGTAAGCAGTCCTTATTCTAATATTCAGTGTCACATGGTCTTTCAGAAATCATTCTAATATGCTGCTCAAGCTCATACTTTCAATGTTGAAAACTGCTGCTTAATATTATTTTAGGAAACCGTGATTTTTTTTGTAACATAAACTGTCATTTTTGATCAATTTATCAGGTCCTTACTAAATTAAAGTAGTTATGAATTATTATTTTATTAAATCTTACTGACCCTAAAATTTGTGTATTGATCACAGTAGCATGTTTCTGTTGCCCAAACAGTAGTTTGTGGCACTAGCAATGCAGGCATGAACTGATCAAATGTTGAATGTAGTTGACTTGCAAGATCAGGTACTACACAGTAATCTGCTTTGCGTAATCAAGTACTAAAACAACGCGAATAAACGCGCGCTTAAATTGGCGCCGTCCACGGTTTGATTTCTTCGTAGTGAATTCCCTAAATCACCTGACTTGCTCCTTGGGCTCTACCTTTTTGTCACTCGTCCCACATCCTGTGTGTACATATTAGGGTTGCAATGTCCCAGAGAACTGCAAAGGGAACACAATGCTGAGAAGGCCTTGCCTCTTTCCCTATTGTGGCCTCGTTAGGGAAATGAAGGGGGTGTTCCGTCTATACTGACCCTCCGATGTTTTTGCCAGTCCCTGCGTTCAAGGATTGCCTGGGAATTATTTCGTTTATCAGCACTATTGTTGCCGGCCATGGTATATCTCAATAATCTATCTATTGCACAAATTACAGTTGGATTGCAGGGCCTGCAGCAGGAAATACAACTCACTGAAGTGGAAACAATAGGAAAGAGTCATTCTATCTTAGTCATTAGTGCTTTTATGGAGGTGCCATTTAATTGGCCACAATAGTTTCGTGTGAGAGTCGTCCCTTAACAGAAGTTCACAATGCTGCGAGGACCTGTCTGGCCTTTTCACAGCTGATGGTTCTCATCCTTCAACCCCTTCCCCCTACCGTACCCTTCACATTCCCATCTCCTCACAGCTTGCCTTTCTTATCTGCAGCCTCCAGACAGCTGTGTGTGTCATTGTGTTTGTCTGCACTGACTGTGCGGCGGTTTGTGATGAACGTGGGTACGTACGCATTGACTTGGAAGCAGTGAGTGTAAGCTATTTGGTCAGAGGCCGTTATGAATGCAACTTGTCTTGATGTGGTTTGCATTTCATATAAGGCTTTCTAGAACACGCGTGGACTAACAAAATATTCACTTTCTTGAAAAATCACCAAGATCGTACCCATTGTGTTTGGACACAGCAGATTTGACTGTTTACAGTGAGTCTGGGAGGTTTCGCAATGAATGATCGAGCAAACAATTATACTGTATGCACATGATCTAAACCGGACTCGAATTCTATCAAAACAATGCATCCGCTGATGACAATTACTCTCAGCATCGTCTGTGTACAATGTGCTATTTAAATATTTAAATTCGAAAGCTTTGCGTTTGGAATGTTTAGGCACTTGTGATTTGGTTTGAATATGGGATGCAGCTTTGCTGGTGAGAAACATCCTGTTTACTGTGGCCTTCCTGGCTCAGGGATCATCTTTGACATCAACTTATTGTCTATTGCTGTATTCAAGGTAACCACTCATAGGGGTCACTGTCTGATGCTTTTCCTGAGTTTAACACGTATAGAAGGTTTGAAACCGTATGTTCCAGAAGAGTGGTTCTCAATTGTCAAGCCAAGTCACCTTTATTTATGTAGCGCTTTTTACAATACAGGTTGCTTCAAAGCAACTTCACAGTGATAACATAATAATAATAATAATAATACAACAAAGTTTGTTTCTAGAAGAAAATTGCGTCATCGTCCACCTTGGACGGTAAGGCAGATCAATATATTTTTTTTGAATATTAAATGCCCCCCAACTAAGCAAGCCAAAAGCCAAGGCGACAGTGCTAAGGAACCAACACTACATCAGGTGACTGAATGGAGAAAAACTCTTGGGAGAAACCAGGCTCAGTCAGGGGGTCAGTTCTCTTCTGGTCAACAAACAAACTGTGTATGTGTATAGCTTTCCATGTTGGCATCTATCTAATGAAAGAGTTTGTGCCAACAAA